GTAGGGGCGTTTTGGGGGTGCCATGTGAAACTTTGGGAAGGTTAGTCATGGGGCATGGGAAAGAAATGAGCACAGTGAAAGGAAGAGCTGGGTTAGCACAAAGTGCTGCAGGTGACTGCAGGAGCAGGTGGGGATCAGAGAAGCATTGGTGAGGATCAGGTCAGAGCTGGGATTCCTGTTTTGCTGGGGTGGGGAGGAGCATTATAAAAGGAAAGAGTTGCAGTGGGGACATGAGGAAATACATAATTTGAGGAATGTAGGAGACTATTAATCCATAAACCTACAGAGGGGAGGCCCTTCCAACACTGGATTATTCGATGCTGTTTAGTGGGGAATTTTGTATTCCTTTTCTCCAAAGCGAAGTTGTGTCTTCAGATGTCAGAAATGGCAGAAGAGGTGTCACAGACAATCTTCTCCACTCTGACAGAGCTCACTGCCGGGGGATTTTCACAAACCCTGTCTTTCTGGCAATGTTTACACTTTCATAAACTCTTTTTACCCCTCTGTGTATTTGCGAGGAGATTATTTTGTTGGAGGGCAGCATGTTTCTTCTTTCTGACATTGTTTCTATGTCTGAAATGTAAATGTGGCAGGTGGTGTTTGCCAGGTTTTGCAGTAGAGGCAGGACACAGGCTTGGTCTCATGATTGTGATGCTTGAGATACAGGCAATCCTACTCATGTTGTGTAAAAGGGTTTGTCAGCTTCTCCCAAAGGCCTGTCTAGCTGGAAGGTGTCTGTGGGCCAGATGCCTCCAAAGGTGGCGCTGGTGGAAAGGTGGCAGGTGTTCTTTGGAAGCTGAACACAGCTGCAGTGGTATTTCAGAGCTGCTGGAGGATGGAAAGGAAACTTCCATAAAGGCTGGGCAAAAAGCCACATACTTAGGGCTGCGACAGGTGTCTACATATACACAAGAGCTCTGGCACATTTTGCTGCAGTGGTTAAAGGTTGTTCCTGTCTGCCCTGCTGGATATTGCTGCCATCACCTTGGCTGCCCTGGTTCAGTTTCATGTTAGCTTAAACCTCTGTAGAGTAATATGAATTCCTTCTGTTGGGGGGGAGGGGGAGAAGTAAGGCCCTGGCAAATTTAAGCCAGTCTGCTCTGCAGCATTCCCTTGAATGTTGTTGAAATGCTTCATTTTACAAGGCAAGTGAAATGTCTCTCTTGGATGTGCATAACAGGTATAACAATAACACCCTTCAGTCAGCATTTGAGGTCAGAATGTAACAAGCAACTGAGACTGGTCTCCTGGTCCAGGTGCTGCATTTGGAAATTGGTATCAGAAATGAATAACCAGTTTTTATAAGGGGTTCTGTAGTTTGGGGGTTTTCCCCTTCCTTTTTTGTGGAAATCCTGTTGGTAGAACATGCAGAGACATTTCAGGAACACAAAACCAAGCAAGAGATGTGGAGAGAGACAAACAAAGCACGTCAGGTGACATTCAAGCCAAGACCCTCTCATATAGAGTATGCTTTGTGCATTATGAATTTAGTGCTTGTGTTAACTTTATCTTTGCCACTGCAGAAAATCTTCTGCAGAAGATGTTTCACCAAACACTTTGTGTGTGTATGCTGTTAGTGCCATGCAAAGCACTGTTCTCCCCTGGCTTTAGGGGGCATTAGGGCTCAAGTTGAGGGCCATGTTCTGGTATTCCACAGCTCAGGCAGAAAGAAGCTTCTCTGAAGATGTCAAGATGATAATGTACTAGCTCAAATTTAGATCCAAGCCTGGAGCTAAAGCTTCTAAACATCATTGGGACCATTTAGTTTATAAAATTATTCATGTGCTATTATCTTTTGTCACAGGATAAGAAATGAAGTAGTTGTTCAATACAAGATTAAAATACCATCAGAGGAAAGCTACCAGTTAATTCAATAAATCAGTTTGTGCTACAGTGAGAAAATTGAATTGATTAGCTCTTAAGTATAGTCATGAAGTGTATTTTTAAAAATTAGTGCTGCACTGACACTTTCTTTTTAATGTATCGTTTTTATTTTCTGTAACAAGCAGTGCCTGACTGAGTTATATAAATGAGCAAGTGTTTTGTGCAGGTTATTTCAATTATCTGTCCTTGGAGAAGGTGAATGAAAAGTAGCTCAAACTCAAGTTTTAGCATCTTCATTTTGACAGCTGTAATATGCATATTAATGAAGAGTCTGAAGTGTAGAGGAATGAGTCCATTTGTAAAAGCTGGCATCCTCAGTTCTTGATCTTAAAAGGGGAAAAAAAGGGAAGAAGGAGAAACTGATGGTATGTTTTCTGTGGCTTGCCAAGACTTGAAACAGATTGCAGTTGCAAGTGAGCTGAATCAGCACCACATTCATCAGTGGAAGATACAATCATAGTGATATGCTGGAGTGTACAGCAAAGAAGAGGCAAGTCAGATCTGGCAAGGTGTTGTATGAAGTTTTTATGTCTGATTTTAAACTGAGAGCATTGCTACAAAGAGTAAACTTGGCCAAGTGCTGTAGTAGGATTTAATCGGCAAATTGAATTTAAATTTGAATAATTAGCTAATACCTTTGAAGCAACATAAATTGGGAAGTGTGGGGCTGTCTCAAAGTACTATTATTGGGGTTAGTTGGCTTCATGCATATGCAATTCTAAAACACACGGTTTTGATACAAAACTGGTAAAATACATGCTGAAAAAACAGAACCTGAAGATTTTGGGTGATGAAGGTCTTTTCCTGTTGTTTTTTATAGATCAATAAACTTTAAGGCCAGAATGGTTTGTTAGCTATAATCCTTACTAGGCTTGTTTGTGTGCTGTTTCCTCAGGAAGAGCTATTTCCTATTTTTTTTTTTGTTAATGTTGTTACAAGATGTTGGATCAGATAAAGTGTATTTAAATGGGTAATGCAAGAGAGCCAGCTTCCATCAGTTGTTTGTAACATTGCAAAAGGTGCTGGATAGTAGATGTAAAGGTGAACTAGTCAAATTCCTTAACTACTTCTTAAGTGTAAACAGAGAGTAGTATCAGTCCAGCATGGTTTTGATGTCACTGGGTAGAAGCATGCCTTTCTGAAATGCTGTGAGAGAGATGAAGACTTACAGAGCAATTTTAGAGCTAAGTTTCTCTGATCTCATGGGAAACCTTATGATCTATATCTCATGTTCTGAGCAGCTGACAGCAAAAGAAGTACATTAAAAAGTGTAATATAGAGACTACAGCCTACAGTAGTTTCTCAACACTTCCCTGTAGTTTTTGGAACATACTGAATATTGGAAATGGAGTTGCCTCAAGCTCCTGTTCTGTGTGGTCTTCCTGCTTGCTCTCTCTGGATATCTTGTAACTCTGCTTTTAGCCATTGGGTGAGTTTGACAAAGAAACTCATTTGGGGTCTTGCCATTCATCCTTGTTTTAAGGAGGGACAGAGGGAGGAAGGAGTCTTCTGATCTGAGACACCAGCAGAGAGTAAGTAAGGCATTTAGAGTGGCAGAGTGGCCCAGTTGCCAGGAAGAAGTCTTAGCAGACATAGTGAGACTTCAGCTCAGGGTCTTGGCAAAGTGGTTGAGCCACTACCTAAAGACAAATACAAGGTATGTGAGTTTTAACAGAGTACCTTTTCATGGTGCAGTAAAATAAGGACAGCAGGAGGAACCTTACTCATTTCAAGCATGTGGTGTTTGGGGTTTTTTTTAATAACTGTCTATGAAAAGGGTTACTTTTTTCCTACTGAGACCTTATTTTTGAGGGTTTCCATAATTCAGTGTCTGTTTTTCATCAGACCAAAACTCAAACTTCATGCCTTTTTCTTCTTCTTATCATCTCTTCTCCATTTACCACAAAGCCACGTTATTTTTGAAAATATGCTTCCTTGAGTCTCATCTCTTTAATTAGAAAACAGATGCATACAAAAATTAGTAACAAGATTTAAATGCTATTGGTGGGTACTGTAATAGAAGCACTTATTTTCTGCAGCTTGAACTCCACTGAAGTGCTGCTTCAAAGCAGGAGTTAAGGGAGAATTAAGTGCATTAAAAGAGTTTTAGAGGAATTATGGGAACTCATGTCAGTCCACATAGCAAAGGACTCAAATGAGGAAAAGGAAGAAGTGTTTCAAAGTTTCATGTTGAAAAGAACTAAGATTTCATTCTCATTCATGTACATGTATACCTCCTTATCAGTGTACAGTGGAGCTATATTTGGTGACCAAGCCAAACTTTTATTGCATTTGAATGTCTTTGCTCTAATTCTTTTTGTGTGACTTAATTTTAAAATGTGAAGATTCAAGCCTGTTCCTTACTGACATCTAAGGTCATTGGTTTTGATGGAAGTGGGATTAAGCAACTGGACTCCCTTCTGTGTGTTAACTCTTCATCTTGTAGTACAGTATGTCTCACCCCACCACATAACTGGAAATAGAAAGCATATTACAGGGTTTCTCAGTCACATGCACATTCCATTCATGTGCCCAAGTTTTCAGAGCAGACTTGGACATTTAACTGTACAAACCCTGTTAGTTTCAATAGGACCTGTGTGGCTAAATCCTCTGAATTAGTTTTGGGGAGAAAACAAAAACAACAACAAACCAACCATGCAGCACTTAGTTTAACCTCCTGGCAGATTTAGCTGCTTTTTAAGACAGGACCTTCAAACAAGTCTGGCAAAAAATTGAGGTTGCTGATGAATAAGAAAACAGGAGCTGTTGACTTCCTCTAAGGTTTTCCTCCTCCTCTTTAAAGCTTCAGAGGTACCAAGTAATAATTATTAGGGTCCAAGAGACATGGCTGGGAGAAGCACAATACCCCTTCTATCTACATTCATAATGATGAGGCACTTCTAAAATGTGTTAGCAGAACTAATCTAGAGAAAGTATGAAATTCAGAGTCGCCTCTTTTTGCAAGATTGAGTACCACTGTGCAGGACATTGTGTTCTCATGTTTCTTCAATGCTTATGCATAAGCACCTGCAATTAGTCTTTATAGGTGTAGCTTTGACAGGTTGGGATTAAAACCTCTGAATTAATCTCTTTGGGTTTTTTTCTGCTTTCACAGACAGTATTCTCACCTGAAGAGAGATGGCAGAAATCAATTCTCCTGTAAATATCAAGGAAAAGGTAGGTTCAAGTAACAGCACAGTGCAAACCAAAATGATATTTGTGTACATATTTCATCCCTGGTCCTTCAAACATTATTCACATACTTAACTTTAATATGCATTGAAATATAGGATTGTTATATTAATCTTGGCTGATGAGAAACATTTTTGATTTTCTGCAAAGGAGCAATGATTTGTCAGGTAGACTTTTCTTACTCCTGTGCACACTGGTGCTGTTGAGAACAGCACTTTGTGATGATTGCTGCTGTACAAAATACAACCTTTGAAGAAACACACCCTTTAGAAAATAATTTTTCTGATCAAAACTGTCCACTTAAAGGCAATTCCTAAAATTATAAGGCCTGAAAAGAGTAGTGGTTTGTGGAGTGTTTTTTTTTTTCCCCTTATGTAAGTAGCTTTGCTTTTGACTGTGTTCAGTGTACATGAGTTCGTGTTCAGACTCTTGTGTCCTTCAGCTGCTGCTTACTTACTTTTCTTGCTTTCAAAGAGATGTAGAACTTTTTTGCTTTATATCCCCTGATGGGAAACAATTCCTTACCTGTTGCACTGCTCAAGTGCCTGCTTTTTGAGTAGTTTTCCCTCATATTTCTTGTTAGTTCCTGAATCATTCCTTGTGCTTGAGGATTTACATGTCAACATAAATCTGTTATTTTGGTGGTATCTTCCTTATTCTTTAACAGCACAAGGTTTACATACTGAATGGTATGATGGATTTTGCAATAGAAAGTAACATCATCAAATCCTATCCCCTAGTGCCAAAGTGCTGGAAGGTTAATTACAGTAGCTCTCAAAATGCAGCTCAGTAAATCAATTGAAGTTCTGCCTGTTTACTGTGTAGCTTGAATTTTTTTATTAATTTTGTCAGTTTTACTAGTGCAGGATTTTACAAATCATCTGTCCTTTGCCAGTTTAAGAAAAAATGCAGTGTGACTTTCATTCACGCTAGTTATCTGCCTTTTCATGTCTGATATCTGCTGGGAGTTTCTAAAACTGAATGCTTATAAGCATACGTGTTTTAAGGCAGGAAAATAATCGGATCAATGCACCCTGTTATAAATAGTTCCTCTCTTTATTCCTGTATTTTCCATCAGTATTCAGTGCCACTAAATCCCTATGCTAAAGTGAAAACTTAGTTTGACAGCAATTAACATTTTATTGCAAAATCACTGCTATTTATTTTGGAAAATACAGAGTAAGCTTCAGCTTCTTCAGCTGAGAAGCTAGCATGCTCAGTTTGCCATGTCACCTGGACAAGTCTGTCTTGCTTTGAAATGAGACTGCAGTGGCACAGAACCTCCATTTCACATTTGGTTTACTGTATGGTGTCTCTTTGTCAGCAATAAGCTGAGTAACTAAAGCAACTGTAGCTTTAGAAACCTCTGAGTAATGCACTAGAAAGATGAGGAAAGGGTTGAACAGATATGGCCTGCTGAGTTGGCTCTAGTTATATTTGCACATTGACTGCTAAAACATAAGGACTGACTTAATTTCCGTGTTTGAAAAGGAGACATATTTACAGTGTCTAGTAAGAGTAAAAAAACAAATCCCTTTCTCACTTGGAAAACTTGAAGCAAGATATAATCATGCTACACAACATTGAAGCTGTGAGTTTAATGTTTACTTTTACCCACCTTTTGGAGAGACGTGTTTCACAGAAACAAACCCAAAAATTATTGATTGAGTTACTTTCACTGAGCTCCACAAATCCACTGCCATCAATACAAATATAAGCAGGCCTTGAGCAGAATAAAACACAGCTCCTTCCCAGTCCTTCCTTCCTTCTGCCTCAGTGCTTGCAGATTGTAACGGATCCTGATAGGTCTTGAATGAACTGAAAAGAAGCTGGTTATCCAAATGTAAGTATTTGTTCTTGTAAGTTTCTGCAAAAGTAGAACACAAGTCTCTCCTTAAGTGGAACACTGTTTCTCTCAGACAAGTATGTCCTACAGAGCCTGTGGAGTTTGTAGCATGATGTTTGTTGGTTTATTTTTTCAATGGTGGCCTTTCCCCATGTTCTTTCCATGATCAGCTTCTGGATACTCAAGGAAAGAAGATATCTGCCACTGTTTTAAAGGTGATGTGAGGCTCAGGCAGACAGTTTGGTCTCACACACAGGCTCTGAGAGTCCCTACCCCTGATTTGAGTCATAAGAGAATGCTACTGTAGTGCTGATACTTGTGTAATTCATTCTTGGCATTTCAGCTGAAATAGTTCATAAAGTCAATAGGTTAAACATTCCATTTTATATCTTTTCTTCACCCCCCTCCCCTGAGAGATTTATATAAAAATGTTGGCCTGCAATGTCAGGAAGGCTAATGGAAATTTCCATAGTTGGCAGAAGCTTCTGCAGCTGTGATACTTTTGTGGGGAGCCAGGACTTTTCTGATTACCATATTTTCATGCATATAACTCACAGGTTTTCTGGAATAACACAAGTTCTTCATTTCAGGAGCAGCAAGGGTCATTACATGCCTGCATAGCTAGTACAAGGAGAAGCTCACCATCAGGATCTCTCTCAGAATAATGCCCTCTGCCCTGACTCTTGCTACAAGCTTCCTTCAATACACTACTCTCCCTTTTGCCTCTGATTCTACTCGTCGCTGTGCCTGAAAATACAGTGTTAACTAAGGGCTTGTTTTGTAGTGTAAGGATTTTCAGAGACTGGGAGTTATACATAGTTCAGATCACAGGAACACAAGTTCATGGGATTAAGGGATAAAATGGGCCAAACTCATTGGCTTAAATCCAAAATAATTCTATAAAATTAATGGAGTTATTCAAGCACTAACCTAGTACATCACCAGAAGAGGTGCTGAGATTCTAAATGACAGAGCCTCCAAAGAAGCAGCAATTCAGAGTGAGGAATAAAAGCAATGTGTTTTCTCCTGCAACAACTAGACTCTCTTAGATGAACAAGAGAAGAGTGCGTATTGGGCGCTCCCTAGGATAGCCATTCAGCTCTGCAACATTATTTCACTTATGAACCAAAGAAATATCAGGAATTGTTCAAACTTTAGGACTTGCTGTTAGGCCTCTTTTTGGTTTTCTTTTTTTTAAAATTGTCTGAACAGGTTTGAACAAATAAGATCTGATGTCAGCGGAATTAACAAAATATTAATTCAGATGAAAATCCTCCTCTTAGGATTCTGTTAGGAGTGAAGTTCTGCTGAAGTTCTCCTGAAAGGCTTGCTTTTTCATTTGTCAAGTGTCGCAGCTGTTGGAGCAGATGGACAGGTTTGCTCCATAAACTGCAAGAAAGAAGTTCTAGTCAGATTTGTTCTGGGGATTTTGACAGTTTTGGTTTCATATAAGTGATAGTCGGCATTCAAGGAAAGAGCAGGATTCATAGTGGAAGGAATGGAAGTAGTATATGCATTTTAAAAGCATACATTACAGCTCAGGTAGTTTCCCATCTGTGATTTCACAGAGTCCCCTTAAAGTTGACCTTTGCAGCTGCTCCTTGCCCGTGTGTCAGAGTAGACTGAGTTAGTCCTAAGCCCAGCAAAGTTGATCAAAATGCACTTGTGTCACTTGGTGAGCTGTTTTACTTGGACTAAGGATACTGTGGATTCAGGTCTCTAAATAGTGCTGTCAGTAATCAAGCAGAACTGTTCTTACTGAGCCAAACTTTCTAATGTGCTCTTTCAGGATTCCTGAAATGTTTGGTTTTTCCATTTAAGTAGTTTACAAATTTAGGGGACAGGGACAACATAATAAATCCTCGATAATTGCCTAAAGCAGTTTACTGCAGCAAGTAGAATTTTTGTGCTTATTTGAGATAAATTATTTGAAAGTATCAGTGTAATAAACAGGTCATGTAGTAGAGAGGTACAGACCTAATTAAAGCTGTTGTCTTGCTTAAAGGGATGTTAATACTCATTCAGTGTGTTGTGATGAACTTGGTTATAAAGCTTCTGAAAAAAATGTCTCCTATGTAAGAAGCAGCAAGGTCAAATTGTTTTTATGAAATGTGTGGGAGTTTCCAGAACCTTAAAAAAATTCTGCCATAAAGTGTTTTAAAAATGCATTTTTCTACTTAATGTAGCCAGGACATCTGCTAAGGCTAAATTCCTACATTCTAGAAACCAGCAAGAGCTGTGCAGACAGCCTTCTTTCCCTGCTCCTCTTGCAGGACTGGGCCAGCCCTAATTGGAGGTGTAATCTGGTTGAACATGGCCTACACTACTACTCGTCCTGTGTTACAGAGGGCATATACAGTGCATACATGTACATAAAGATTTGCTACTGACAGACAGTAAAAATAAAGTAGGAAACTATCTGTGTATTCATTGATAACCATAATTCTGCATGAATTTAGCTCCATGGAGAAACTCTGTTGATCGTAGTGTGTAGTGCAAAGTGAAGGTGGATCTGTTGGTGCTCCTAACCAAGATAAGTAGGAACATTCCTGAGTAAGTGACCATAATAGTAACTTACTTCGAGGGGATTAGAGCAGCTGTGTTCAGGGATTTCAGAACAGCCGTAAGCTTTCAGCAAAGAACTCTAATTTGTCACTGTGTCAGAAATATATAAACAAATTCTCTGAACCCCGGATATGTTACTTATTCACCAGAAACATCCTCTTTGAGATGATGCCAAGGGGGAGCAGATGGAGTAGAGCAGCAAGCAGGCAGCAGTTGATTCCATGTTGTTGCGGTTGCCTGGGAACCATTTGAAACTTGACAGAGAACCTGAAGAACTTGGGATTACACAGTAATGTCAGCTTGGTTCTGGGTGTGGAGTAGGTAATCTGCTGTCACTATTTTCAGGCAGGCTTTATTTCTTCTTGAGCCTAATTTATGAGAAAAGTCTCATGAGGCAAGTGTTCTTGAGGACTTAGAGTATGTTACCATGAGAAGTTAGAATTTGCATGTCTTCCTCTCCTGTGTGCCAGGGTAAGAAGTAAGATGCTACTGAATTCGTTTTTTTTTCTTTTTAGGCAAGACAAAAATTTACCCCAAGTGAGATTGCCTATAATTTAGCAGTAATCCTCAGAAAAATAGTCAAGAATATCTGATCAGACCTTGGGGATTTAATTTTGAGTTAGAAACATCTTATCTGAAGGGACTTGGAACCTCTTCCTGTTTTGATATCAATTCTGAGCAGTCTTTTGCATCTTGTGTAAGAGACTGATGAAAGTGACCTCATGACCATGGAACTCTGGTCCTGATGAGATGCAACCTGGCTCAAACTGCAGCAACTTTAACAGGGCTTGAGCAAGAATTTCAAGCTAAGTGTGTGCTTAAGACTTCAGCTCAGAAAAGCAGTTAAGAGTCTTCTACATTTTAAAGTGACTTAATCCTCCTCCCAAAGAGCAGCTAGGTCCACAGGAATTAAATACATGTTTTCAAGGTAAATCTCAGGGTCATGGGTTTAAATGGAAGTAGATGTAGCTTCTGTCTTCCATGGTCTTGACTGTACAGTTTTCAAGATCATAGCTTTATGTTTAAGTTCTGTGATTGCTTTAAAGTAGCTTTAGTAAACTGAAATTCTGAGCACATAGTCTTAGTAGTAAACAAAGAAATATGCTTTCCAGTCAGACTACAGGAGGGAAAGCTCCGGAATTTAACTACTGTCAGTGACAGCTTCTCAGCTAATGTTGACAGTAACCACACAATTATCTGTGGCTCAGAAGGTATGTTACTGGATTCTCTTTGTGTCCCGGAATGCTTGTCTAGCATCCAGATGATGACAGAATTTCACTGGGAATCTACACTGGATAAAGACAGGACGATTCAGAAAATTGTGAAAATAGTTGACTTCCCAGTAGTCTGTCTGGTAATGTTGTTCTTCCTATGATCAGGTTTCAGGGAGTGGGAAAAAAATGTTTTCTCCCACATACATGGAAATAAATCTAATAAAGTGGACTGCTGTGTGTTCTTGCAGACTGTTAGGTATTAATGCAGTATTGCTGCACATTAGGAAATTCTTGTACTTTTATTAATCCTTTAGAACGTTAAGTATTAAAAGGAATTTGTTAATGAGAAGTCATACAGTATTAGATTATTCTAGTCCCATAACCTGTTGCTTAAATGTTGAGAAGATGGATGTTCTTTGTAAGTTTGAGGACCATAAGTTTAGAGAGAGAAAGTTGGGAATTATCTCCTGTCCTGGAATTACCCTATCACATCTTTAATAACAATGAGCTCTGTAGCTTTCTGTATTGGGAAGTGACCAACTTCTCTCAAGGAGCTGGAGGCTTGTGAGCACTTGAGGGGTACAGCTGTACGAGCAGGACTGCTGGTTTGTCACTTGAACTAGCAGATGAACCATTGAGGAGACAGCATACCTGGGCTGCCTAGATCCAGCTCGCATCTAGGCCTTGGATACGTCTCCCACTTGTCATCTTGTATTTGTCAAGCCTTCCTGGAGCTTTGCTGTGCCTCCCTTCATCAGTCTGTGATGTGTCTCTTACCAACTTCAGCTGCAGAAGTCCATTTGTCTTCAGCTTGTGCTGTCAGGAAGATTGCTCACCCCTCCCTTTGGCTTTTTCTTTTGTATTACTGTGTCCTTTTCCAGAAATACATGGGACACGTTTTGCATATGAGGGAAGACCTGAACTTCAAATATAGAAATCTACACATATGTTTGAAACCAGGGTGGAAGGACTAAGAAGTGGAATATCAGCGACCTTGAAATTTGCATTTCTAGACTAAGGCTGTCATAATGATCTAGTCTTCCTCAGCACGCCCTGTATTCCTAACAGATACACTGTCAGGTCACAATTTGAGACTTGTAGCCATTTGTCAGTAATTTCTGGATGTTGAGAAACTGCTAATTTTTTCATTCCCTGTGTACAATAGTTCCAGTTGTATTCTGGATGAAAGCATCTGCCAAACTGTATCTTGGAGACCTGATGTCTGGCACACAGATCTGTTTGTCTTTGAATATAATGGCAACGTTATTCCATTTTGTTCCTAAAAATTTTTAAGACAAAGTATTTTATCTCAGAACAAAACCCTTTGGGATTTCTTCTCTGTTGGAATTCTGGATTTATATCTGCTTTTGTTGTTTCTGAACAGAGCAGGATGGATGTTTTGGGGTTTTTTTCTTAATATTGACATACCCTACTGGTTGCCAATTTTAGTTTTCATCTATCTTATCCCACATAAGTCACTGTGGAAACCTGGAAAGCAGAAACACTCTAACAGCTTGTGGGTATCCTAGAATGCATACACAAGGGAAGCAGATTAAGAAAGTGTAAGCAACTTCTGCTTTGGAATTTCCCAAGTACTGTATGCTTTACTTTGCAACTGGATATTCTTTTCCTGAGGAATTTTCTCATGAAGCTTCTGAACTTTTTGTTTTCTAAATAGAAAGATAAGTAAATGTATATTTTGTACAGCATTCAACGAAGGATATTGCTTGGTTTTGCCACAGATGGATGTTTCTGAATAGCAGTGGAACTGTTGAGCTCTGCAGTACCTTAATGTTCCCTAAAATGAATTTTTTATATAGTCAAACTAAAGCAGAACTGTGTTCACAGTGTTGATCATACGCTTAATTTATTTTCTCTGTACTGGCAAGTGTTAAGATCATCTTGAATTTCTTGGGTTATCTCCATAACTATAATATTTCCATCATGTTTTTGTATTTAATCATGGTGTTAGTCGGATGCAGCACAGTTTAGCTTTTACTTCTGGTTTTCCTATTAATCAAAAAATTTCTTAACAGAGACCATCCAGGGCAAACAAAGTCTTCAATAGATTCCGTAGTGTAAAGCATAGTCTGTCTGGAGATTTTGCATGTCAGTGTTCTCCACCCCACAGATGTTCTTCCTAATGCCTTTAAGAAGTTTCCAAACTGCAGTGTATGGCAAGTTGCCTGATCCATCCTGTGGTCTTGGCCTCACTTCGTTGTTTCCAGATGCTTCTTGAGGCTTCCAGACCTTTCATAGCAAAGAAGGACCTAGAATCCATCTGAAATTCCCATGCTTATATTTAAAAGATGGTTAGAATGCACTAGATATTTCCTTTTACTATTTTTCCTGTAAGCAGTTCCCACAAAGAGATGATGCAATTTTGAGTAGGCAGAGAGATGATCCACATGATTGTGAAAGAAGAGGAGAGGTTTTTGTGAGAATATGAAGATGTAATCCACATGGTGGATATTTGGCAGCTACCAGTTTGAACATAAAACGGACTGCAGCTTGGGGCTTGCTCTACCCCAATCTCTTTGCTGACTTTTATTGTTATGGAGCCAGCTCAGTTCATACTTTTTGCAGCTTTATCAGTAAATAGCATGCCTGTGCCCCCAGTCAGTAGATGAATAACTCATTTTTTCCAGGGCTTTCTCTGCACATCCTGTTGATTTGGGTTAGCTATCAGTTGAATGCCTGCAGTGCATAGAGAGCTACACTCACTACTTCCCACCCAGTGCATACACACCAGCTGAAGAGATAAACTTGAGCTTATTGTCTTATCTGGGTAGTTTCTGGCAACACCAGCCTCTGGTTCAAGTAGTCCAGTTGACATCCTGGGCTGTCTGAACTTCCAACACAAAGTTACCTGTGTTTCCTGGAGACTCCAAAGCAGCCAGCTGTTGGGTTGGGACCTCGCCTGTGGGCAAGCCTCACCCACTCATAGGGTGGCCACGTTAGGCAAATGACTAGATAGGCCTTTGGAAAGGATTCTTGGGAAGTAGAAAAAAAGCAATTTAACTCCACTGCCCTCTAAATTATGGTTTTGGCCTGAGTTGTCCAAGGCTAGAGTTGCTATTTGGAATGTGTTGTGGGCAGATGTGAGGCTGCAGAGAGATGTGTGATAGGATGGTGGACAGGAGCAGAGTACACCCTAATCAAGGATGTATTCCCACAGAAAGAGGGCAAAGAAGGGTGCTGAATAAACATTTGCAGCACAAGAACAACTTCCTAATAGTAAATGCATGCTGAATAGCTTGACACAGGAGCTCAAAAAGCTGATTTAGAACAGCTAGACTGGTTTTGGCACCAATTCTCTTGTTTTTTTCAGAGAACTACCAGAGGCTTTTGTTTTGTGAATTAGGTATTTTTATTATTAAAGCTTGTCCGGCATTAAAACGATATAGTAATTATGTTTCATGTAACTATTTACTTTCAGCTACACTGCATGGTTGTAAGAAAGTAAATCATCAGCATGACTCTTGTAGGAACATTTTATTTAAAACATCATGGGTTGAATTACCGTTTGATATAAATGGATACTGAAGACAATACAGCAATAGAAAAGGCTGTGAAATTGAAGCATGGCATGCCAGAATATCTGTGTGTGTAATGCCTCATCCATCAGCAGAGTTTCCTGAAGGAAGCATTTGGCTTCCCATGTCCTTTGTTCAGGATTTCGTTACGCAAGCTTCCTGGTCACACATATATGGAACAACAAACTGTAATTATGCTGAGCAGCCACTAGAGCTTTTCAAAATGATAGTTTTCTTTTAGCTTGTGACTGTTTTCATGCATATGACTGTCCTCCACATGTCAAAAAAACTACCAATCATAACACCCTTTTAGTAAGGCTGTGCAGCAGCCTTCTGGAAGCAGTTATGTACTCCCTAAGTTTGAGTAGGTGATGGGTCTTGTCAAGTCACGTGGCAGCAAATAGAATGTTTAGGGGAGAAGCGTGAGACTGAACTCTCACTTTAGTTAAACTAAACCCCCACTGTGACTGAGGGCAGGACTTGGTTCCAGCTGTACTGGCTACCTGTTAGTTCTGTGATTTGGTCTATTGATGAAATTCTTTTCATTATTTACATGGGCCAGGTAAGGAGAGGCTGAGAGTTGCTTCATGCAGATACACTGTTGTATGCTTGTAAGGACATCGCGTGTGGCACGTGTGTGCATGAGTATACATTGGCACAGAGGTACCTTGTCTAAAGGAGTATGATGAACCCCTGAGTTATTGCCTTCCTTTTTTTTTTTTTCCTTCCAGATCAATGCAATCCGATCAATTGTTCCAAACAAAAGCAATAATGAGATAGTTCTAGTGTTGCAGCAGTTTGATAACAACGTAGACAAGGCTGTTCAGGCTTTTATGGATGGTGAGTACAGTACAACTCTTTCACTAAGGCATGAGAGATTGTTGCATACTGAAGTATTAGTTGTCTCTAGTGACTCAAAATATGTCCTGTTGTTCTGCTGAAATTCAGATGATTGTGACACTTAAAGTTGTTGGGTTTTTTTAATAACTGATCCTATCATCTTTGTCTTTGCCTCTTCACAGTACGAATTTGCCATGACTGTTTATCTGTGTTCTACCTGATTTTGCCATTTTTTGGTGCCATTCTTGTGGCAGACCTTTATGCTCTGTGAAAGTTAATAATACTCTTCAGAGTAAATATGTCAAAGTGTGATTCACTATTGAAGATACGGTGACTAATAGGAATTTAAAGATAGTTCTGAAACAGATAACAGGGCCCCTAAAGCCCTGAACTTGATGCATACATTGACATTCAGACTTCAGTCTGAATTTTGCAAATAGCATTGACATTTATAGTGGCTGAACCAAGACTCCACTGAAAGTTTGAGCCATTCTAAGTCTGGATCTGAGTCTGTATTTTGTATCATGAGACCATCTCTAATCAAAGGTCACTTGTACTTAAATAACACCTTTCTGATAAATATATAATGGTAAGTATTTTGAACTTTCACCGCAGTCTGTAAGAAATCTTTTGCTGTAATAGCATACCATGAGCAAATCCTCTCATGAGTCTTTGTAACTTGGGGCTGCTTAAAAGGTACAAGAAGTTCAGTGGTCTCAAAAGCTGTGAATATTTTAAAAATACCTCATAGTGTTGATTTGCCGTTAGACAGGTATGAAATAAACAACTTAGTTTCTTCAGAATAGTTTTGGGTTTAGTTTGGATTAATTTACTAAAAGGTATCAACCAAAAAAGCATCATGATGTACTAGAAATTACATACTAATATGCAAAAAGCAGATGCAGATGGACTATAAATGCATGAGAATTTTTCCCTCAGGTCTACGTGGTGCCTCTTGATTCAGGCATCTGCATAGACAGTCAGATTCTGATAGATGTATGGAAATCAGAAATCAGAGTGAGTTTGTGCACACACAGAGAAAGGGAAATGTGATACATCTTATTAAAAATAGTTTTGTTCTCCTATAACACATGTCCCAGGGAAAGTAGTGGAGGGATTATTGAATACATTCCTTTCATTTAATTTATTTTGTCTTGTCACTATTGCTTACTTGTAGTCTGTGATTTGTTTCCCATGGCTCCTCAAAAGGAGAAGTGCTTTCATAGGCTGCGTTGTCATTTGCTCTGAGGAAGAAGCAGGGCAAAAGCAAGCCTTGCAAGACTGCAACAAAGTCTTGAAGGAAAGCAAGCTGTTGGAACCTGAGTTCAAAAGATTGTTTGGATTTCACCAGTTTATGGTCATTGTGCCTCGAGTTCAGATGTCTTTGCAAATGGGCATTTGGAAATGGCCAATATTTGTTACTGTCTGGAAGCAGCCTGAGAAGAGACATGTCCATTCAGCTGCCACTGTGGATAGAATGAATCCAGCACTTTAAGTATCTTTTCACATGGAAGACAAGAATTGCTAAGTTTGAAATACCACAATCCCAGAGAATGTATTGCCATGTGCAGTGAAAAAGGTGGAGACAGCCATGCTGAGTGAAGAGGCTGAGCACCTCCATTCAGTACTTCTCTTGGAGGTGCTGCATGCTGATGGAAGAAACATTCAAATTTAGTTTCCTGAGATCACCTTCTATCTTGCATCACACCTGGAGAGGAATGTGGCTGATGAATTATTATTAATTTACTTCTATATGTGAAATCTGAGTTAAGTAAAACACCAAATGAAACATTTGAACTGTTATGTTAGTGTTTACCTAATTAAGCATAACCAGAAGGTCTGTTCAGCTGCATTGTAGATGAGTTTAAGATGATATACTATTTGGCTCAAATGAGGACTTTGGGATTTGCACAGTTAGTGCATTTCCACCAGGAGGAAACTGGGATGAGTTGGGTGAATCTCTAAAATAACCCTTGCTGTGCATAGTATTCACAGGGAAGCCGAGAGGCGAAGCTGAGACAACAGCAGCCAGCACAAAGGGTGTTGGACAAGACTGTGAACACAGTTAACAAAGCTGTCAAGTGAAATCACATTTTCAGCAGCGTGGAGTGAAATGGGCAGCAAATGTCTGGGTTGATTTCTTCATACTGAAATATGTTGTGTGTCAAAAGATAGCATACATTTAGGAGAGGGGATTGTATTTATATGTTCATAAGTATGTGTATAATTAGTGTAGGTATATGTATAGTTATACACATACAAGTTTTCTTAGCTTTCTGACTGCATTGTTGAGTCATCTAAGAAATGAAATATGGATTTGTTTGGATTTTGTGTTCCATACACATTTTTTCACAGTTTAGCAAATTTGGCTCAGCACTGTGAGCAAGATATGTAATCTCTTCTAATGTGTATGATAGACTCACCAGATGATGTTGGATCTGGTTTATTGTGATAGAAAAAATAATATTGGTACATTTGAAAACCTCACATGGCTTTGGCTGAATACACGTTGATGACTCGTAATGGTCAGAAAACAGCATTCCTTCTCAATGCTCACATTGTCAAGAGCTCACTGAAATGACTGAGAAGATGGCTATGAAACCCATTTGGAAAGGATAATAAATGAATAATTACTAGAATTGTGCAGTGATCAAGTGCTTAAGTTCAAGCAGAAGGCCTTTAACATGGATGTGTGTAAAAGGGTTCTTGTCAGATACTGTCATGCTAGTTTGGATGATGAGTTGGACTGCATGTTTATCATGACCATCTATTTTCAGCTTTAGGGTCCAGGAGAACAAATTAATAATGTTAACAAAACTAGATGCAGAAGAGTTTTCTTGTAACATGGCAGCTGGCTGAGCAAGGCTCTTCTTGCTCTATGCTATAAATTTATCTAACCAGCTTGTTAGGGCTGGCAGACAGAAGTTCATGTATACAAAATTGTAATACTTTTTCAATATAAATGGTAACCTTTTTTTTTTTTTTTTTTCCTGCTAGACAGAGACATTTTAAGACTTTCAGAAGCTCTAGAGTTAGGGTGGACTGTTTAGTTCACCTGCTGGTTTATGTTAGGGTTTTGAGATCCTTCCCTTTTCATGCAAGAGGTTTTAGTATTGATTTTTCTAGGGCTTATGCTAGTGCTTTAAATGAGGCACCCACTTCATCACTTTGTAGAATAAAGGCCATAACAAGAAGTAGTGCTAAGGAGCACATCCACTGTACCTAGTATAGTCAAATAAAACATATAACTAAAAAGGAGAAAGACAGAATTACCTGTTTTGTTCTCCCCACATAAAAGAATTCGCAACAAAAATTGGAAATTCTGCCTAGCTTGGAGATGAGAAACTGTTCTTTAACACACTTGTTCTTTTTCATAGCTGAACTTGTGTTGAAATGTTTTATCTTCCCTTTCTCTAGGCAGTGCAACTCAAGTTCTAAAAGAATGGAATATGACAGGGAAAAAGAAGGTAAGAACTTGCTCTGAAGAATCAAAGTATTCAGACCATTTATCAGCTGTCTGTAGTTGAATGTGGTGCTTTTGTTTTGGCCAGCACTTTGGCTGCCTTTGCTAACATAAGGTGACTTCATTCACACCTGTAGTCAGAATACTTGAAAGCAAATGCATTCTTTTTAATCCTGTTCATCTGTTGCTGTCTCTCTAGTCCAGTGTTCCAAGAGAATCTCTGGGACAGCACATGTGTCCATGTGTGTGGGAGCCAGACCCTGGACAAGTACAGAACAAATCCCAAAGCAGCCCACGTGCAGAAAACACTTAGAATAAGCAATTGTATCCTAGGTAGTCACAGCCACTTACAGTGCTAGAGTTTTTGCTGCCAGGTGTAAAAATAACTTGTGCATAGGAGTCACCCATTAGGAGTCAGGCAGTAGTGACCCCTATCAAGTCAGATACTTCAAGTATATGTCTGGGCTATGATCTTCGTGCTTCTGTATCTGCAAGTGGGGGCTGTACCAGGAGGCTGCCCTGTGAGTCATGGAGGCTCCTGCTATGGTTGGGAGAGCTACAGGAGCCAACCTGTGTTCTCTGTGATGGCTTTCTACCTAATCAGAGTGATGCCTTAAAGGTTTGTGTGTGTTACTGGTTAGGAACTGCTTGTCCTAAGTGCAAGCAACTAGTTTGGGGCTTCAGTTTGTATTTGAAATAGGGTATACGTTCAGCTAAATGGAAGCAATGTGTTGTGTAGCACAGCATGGCCAGTAAAGTGCATGACACTGCTGTCACTTGTGTGGCATTTAAAGAGCATAGACAATTTGCTGATTATATTTTGAGTTTGTGAGTTGCAGTGAGTGATGTCTCTGTTCTTGCAATATTTTTCCATTTAGCACAATAGGAAAAAAAGAAGCAAATCTAAACAGCACCAAGGCAGTAAAGATCCTAAAACCAAGGATGGTGGACCTGAGAAGGCATCTCAAGAGCCACAGGGAATATATGAATGCCATCTTAATGGATGCTCTAAGGACAACTCTTGCAGTGCTTCTGCCAATCAGAAACTGGAAGCTGCTTCTCCTAAGAACAAGGGCTCAGGATTTGCAGAGTCAACACTGGTCTGTCCAAAAATCACAGGTCAGTTCATCTGGCACAAGACACCATTTTAATTGTCAATAGCCAAGCCCCCCCTTTACCTAAAGATGATATTATTTTTATTACCACACAGTAGAACATAATAAAAAGAAGTTGGAGGGCTGTTCGTGCAAAATAATGCTTAACCTATTAAAGTCATGCAAACAGATCTTCTATCTGAGCATGGATTGCCTTGCAGTATGTCTCCTCCCAAAATGTCTTTTTCTAGCAACAAAAGGACAAAACTATAATTAGAGGCCCAGGTGATGCAGAATATTACAGATACAAATACAGAAGAATACAGGGTTAGAAAATGGCTTGGATATAAAATGGTGAAATGTCTTGAAATTAGTTCTCTGCTGCTTCCAAATGGCTTTGGTGGTGCCAGGTTCTGGTCAATTAAATTAAAACTCTGCAACATATAGCATCCAAATAGATGAATTACCTATCAAGAAATTTTGTCCTAAGAAGCTGGTGCCTCACAAAAGATGAGAAGTAGACTTCCCACCCTCAGTGAAGACTCCCCACTTACGTTGGGTACAATATGCCATAAGGCAGAAAATGCTGCATTTCCATAATACTAAAAGTATTCTTGCCAATTACTCTGCAAGAGGTAAACATTGGTGGTATAAATATATGTCAGGCTCCCTTTGCTTCTGTTTTTGACATGATACATGCATGAATGAAGCTACACAGATTGAATTGTCCATGAATGAGGACTGTTTTCTAGGGGGTAGTAGACCTGAATGCAAGAAGAGTACCCATACCCTTAGTGACCTTTTTCTGTGGCATTTGCATTGAGTCCTTTACTTCCTTTTTGATATGATACAGTGTAGAGTTGTATATACCAAGAGCAAAAAGTATCTCAGAATTTTTCTTTGCTTTTACAAATGACAAAAGAGATACTACCATAGCTTTACAACTTTATAAACTTTTACACATATTCCTTGTTGCAAAATGGGGGGAGAGAGGGGTAAAATTTAAAGGCAGAAGAGGAGGGAAAGGGAGCAGAAAGGAAAACCTGAAACTTGAACATTAAAGTTTCCCTTGCATAGTAAAATAAGTCCTGGCAGTTGGTTTAACACAGAGAAGGAAGGAGTTTCTTCTTCACTTTGTTGCATTAGGATCCTTGTCTTTGCAGCCATTATAGGAGCTACTTTCTTAAGATCAGTAGTCACCTATCTATTGTTAAATCTGTGCTGCAGTGCATGGAACTAAACAGATCAGGGTGATCAGGATCCCTCAGGGGCCAGCAGCTGCACCCTTGTGGCTTCTGAGCAAGTCACACAGACTGCTCTAAAGCAGTTTGAAATGCTCAAGCGTGTCCAAAGTGCACCCGTTAGACATTGCTCCCTCTTGTGTTGTAATCTCCTTTGTTTTATCCTTGTTTGACTTGTTTGCTTTGATTCCTTCCCTATCAAATTAATGTTACTGCAGTTATTGCACCGTCACCAGCTCACAGCTTAGAAGGATCCTGTCAGGTGTCTGCTGACAGTCCATTGTGCTGTCCTCCCCAGGAGGAACATGAGATTGAAGCTTTGCTTATACCAACTCACAGTCTGTGAGATTAGGTCTTTCAGAGCCATAAAATCCTGGCTTCCTGGAAAGGGCTTCAGGGACCAGAAAGGAGGGTGCAAGTGTAGCTGGTGTTTCTCCATAATGTGTCCCAGGCTAGAAAATTGTGGGGGAGAGTATGTGGCTATTACCTTTAGTTCAGGTCTGCTTATTTCTTGCCATTATTCCAGCTTTATTTTTCTGAGAAATCCTTGGTTCTTGCTTTATGTGATGTTTTCCCACAGGGAATGGTTTCCCACCTCCTAGAGAAAATGAAGCACAGAATTCAATTTCCCTTGAAAGCTAAATTGCCTCATTATGGAGGGCCTTAGGGAGCGTTTCACTTAATTATGGGTCAGTTCAGGGGCTCTCCCTCTCAATATCTTGAAGGGGAAAAGGCCCCCAATAAACCAGATTACCTCAGTGATGACCAGGACAGACCTGCCAACTGTCCTTCTTAAAGTCCTTGGCAACACAGGATCGAAAGGACTTAGAGCCACCCTTTCTGTGCGTGCCCTTGTAAAGAAGGGGCATGAATTCACTGAAAGGATATTTAATGCTGGCTTGCCATGCTATCACTTTTTTGGGTAAAAGCAGATAGAAATCCAATCTCTTTTCTACTTCTTAAAAATTGTTTTTCATGTAGGATGATTTTTAGCGAGTTCTTTGAAATTCCAGTTTATATCTCAAGGGAGGTTTTTTTATTTCAGACAAAGAATCCATTGAGGTTCTTTTTATTTAAAAGGTTTTGAATGGCAAGCTGTTATAAAAAAAAAAAAAATAAACCACACATTTTGAAGATGGCAGCTCAGCAGATTTCAAAGCAAGTTTATTTGGGCTGCTGCCGTTACTGGTAGGTCTGGTAATACTAATTCTGGTAGGTCTGGTGGTTAATGCAGCAGAGGTCATGATTTAAGCTAGTGCTGAAGTTCCAAGCTACCATGTCCTGAACCCTTGGAACAGTTTACTTATAGCTAGTATTACCCAAACCTTTGACTTCACCTTCAGGTATTGGAGAGAGACTTCGTAATAGATGTTTCTTAGCTGGCCCTAGTCTTCAGAGAGCTGATGCAGACTTTCTCAGTCTATTTTTGTGTTGTTTGTCTTCAATCAAAGTTGAAAGTTCAGTTGCAGTATACTAAGGTATTCTTTGCTAGGCTCTGTTGGTCATCTTGTTACTGGGTTTCAAAGTAGCTCGTGTCATTTCAGAAGAAACAGTATCAAAATATATACAGACAAAAGATGATTAAAAAGTTTTTAGAGTATAACCATTTTTCTAGATTATTTAGACAAAAAGCTGTCAGTTTGTCATTTGTATTGACAAGTATAGCAAAGCTGCTAATTAAATGCAGTTTATTTAATAAAGTAATGCAGATATTAATTATTTTGCACTTGAACAAGAAATTTCAAAAGATCTAATCTTGGGGACAGAACCCGATAGTCCTGGCCTTCCTCTATAGTTAAGTAATGGACTGCTTGTTTCTAACTGTTTGAGTTATTTATCAAGGCCAGCCTCAACTGACAGTAGAAAGAATGTTCTTTATAAGTCAAAGCTATCTGCATTAGTGTGAGATGCACCCAGGCTTGCAGGGATTTCATGGCAGTTATCTCAGAACACAGCTCCTGGCTGTGTGAGACTGGTGTCTGCACTGAACCTTAGCTACGTTCAGAGTGCTGCATACCTGGTGTTTCTTGCTTTTGCAGACACACAGCTTTCTTTAACTTCTTCAACTATTTTCTTACACACGATTTTATGTGAAAACCTTTTTCTGTTTGCAGAGTCACCTTTTAAAGCCCATAAGCAAAAGGTCTTTTAGTAATGTGGGCACTAATGTTCCTTCTTGTTCTTCTGGCATTATGTGATTGCCATGGAAACAAACTAAGATGTCCTTCACACCTATCCTAGTGCACAGCCAGGACTCAGAGGTCACAAGTTGATATCCTGGGGCTGTCCAAGTGGTATCCCTCAATTCCAGCAGTGTTAATCCCACTCCGTGGGCTGTAATTCACTTGTCCATCTGACAAGCCCCTTTTCTCCAGACACCACACAACATCAGCTGAATAAAGTGATGTATAAAGACCATCTTCAGAACAAGCTATCATTCATTCATCAAAGTGAATACAAAGATTAGAAAAATGAGTTAACACAATAAATAATTTTCTGTGCAGGTTTCCTTAACTAAGATTTCCAGTGGCAGTAATTGCTGCCCTTAGCTGTCAGCTTCCATTGGCTGCTTGTCCCTCAGTCATGGTGCTGATATCTTGAATCTCTTTGGAGTCTTGGAAAGAGTAACCATATCCTCCTGTGGCAGCCAGACAGGCTCAGGCATTGTTATCTTATCCCTCTGAAGCTGTTGAACCCAGAGCCTAATCTTTGACATTGTTTCATTTCCTGCTTGGTCCTTCATAACAGCTGCTTTTGATAGAAATCTGTTGTCAGGCAAGGCAAGTATTTCAGGCAGGAATGTTTAGTCAGTGCTTTTAAAATGCTGATTAAATGATGAACATTTTTTGTGTGTTTTTATCTGTCTATATATATGTCAGCATTAAAGTGTCGTGCTCTCCATAGCAGACTTCCTCTGTAGTTCTATTCTCTAACATTTGGGCAAAGATTACAATTGGTAGTGTACTCTGGATGTTAGGAGGTGTGTTTTCATATCAGCATGGAAGAGCTGATTTTTTTAAATGGGTTTAGTTGTTGAAACAAATATGTTCAGATTAGTGTTTAATAACTGAAACTATTTTGTTTCTGTTCTGTCATTGCTTTCTGAGGTCCTGTAGAATATGTACAAGTGGAAAAAAAAAACAAAACTATTTTTCTAGTGGATAAACATAATGTCATTTGAACTCAAAAATAAGGCTTCATGTCTGTCTTAGTCTCATAACTCCTGTTTCCTACCCCAATGTTTTCTTGCAGACAAAGAACAAGAACAGCAGAAGGTGTCTGTGGAACTAAACCCAAAGAATATGAATGGAGTAGACCAGCATGAGTCTCAGTCATCAGTTCAACTCCAGTGTCACCCAGGCAGGCCAAAGTCAAAATCTTCCTCAGTTAAATCACCTAATGCTACAGCCCAGCTTGAAACAAAGACAGATGATTCAGTCAAAAAAAGAGGTAAATTGGATCCCTGGTTGCTGACAGCTGAGGTCATCAGACAGCTGAGACCTTTAGGGAAAAAAAACAAAACACAAAACCAAACCAACATATATGTGAAGAACAGATGTGTTGAAAAGTGAGCAGAATTGTGTTCAGCATAACAAAATTAAGTAGAACGATGTATTATCTATTTAACATATTAGTTTTAAAATACAGAATTTGAATTGATAGTGCTGTTTTAATATTCCTTTGATTTGGGGAATGAGTTTGAGCAAACACATTTAGTAATTGAAGAACACCACAGAAGGACTGTGGGGAAGTTGGATTTATGCATGTCAGTAGGATAATTGCTTCATCCTAATCTGAACAAGTGACACGTTGAATTATTCCTGCTCCCTGATTCAGAAAAGCCAAAAAACAGCTTTCTGACTTTCATGCAATTTTGGTTTTCTGTTTTAGGGCCAAACATTGAAAAATCAGTAAAAGACTTGCAGCGTTGCACTGTTTCTCTAACCAGATACCGTATGATGATCAAAGAGGAGGTGGATAATTCAGTGAAGAAGATCAAAGCTGCTTTTGCAGAATTACACAGCTGGTAGGTGAATCAGCTTGAGAGAACCACTGGCACCCCCCAGGAAAAGAGGGGGGCTAATGAGGCCACTGGCAGTGGTGGGGAGGGATCACTTTCACCCTGCTTGTTTGCAGCGTTTGGTTTCATCAAAAATAATATGGGATGCCATCAAGTAACTCCTCACCAGCTGGGAATTGACATATGTCTGAGTGCATGTTTACATACATGAGGGGGGACAAAACTACAGTCTCACTGTGTTTTTTGTAAGTGATCTGTCCTGACCCAATTCTTCTGTATCAAGTTCAGTGGCAGCATATCTGAGGAAATGAAAGCTTTTCCAAAAATCCTGTCTATGGGGTTTTCTGAAGTCACTTTTACCTTCTTTAAATCTCTTCTTTCTATGCTGCTTTGATCTTATCTTCTTTGGCAGCCAGTCCTTTACTGTCTCTTCATTTCCCATCATCTTTGCTTCGTAACCCACCATTCTTTTTAATTTTTTTCATTTTCCTCATACTTTCTTCTAACTTTCCCATCCATCACTTCATTTCCACCTCTCATCTTAGTTCATTCTTTTTTTTTGTCATGCTTTTATCTCTTCCTTTTTTCTGTTTTGTGGGGTTTTGTTGTTGGTTTTTTTTTTGTCTATTATAATTTTGGTAATTCCTGATCTTTAGCACATGTCTGTTTGAAAACCTGTAGCAGAAGTAATTGCTGTAGCAGCAAGTTGCATATTTTGTCTGTACTCCTCATAGAAAGATATTGTGTTTTACTTAGCCTTTTGGTAAACATAGGTGCCATATAAAACCTGTGCATTATAGAGTGTTGCAGTAAACAGAAGAAATCCTGTTAAAATGTACAAGATTTGGTTACAAATCACAGAAGGGTGCAAAAACCTTTCACCCTTACTTAATTCATCCACAATATTTGTCAGTATTTTTATGAACATATGACAGTGCTGTGGTTTTGGCAGGAGTGTTACTCTGGACTTGAGTGGTGTATTCATTGTCTTCAGAGGCATCTAAAGTGACTTCAGTGCCACTGGGGCTCTGCTTCTGTATGGGCAGAAAGTCCCAGTGCTACTGAGCTGATTTTGTGGAAAATTTTGTTGCACTGAGCCATGGGTGTACCCTACTGTCTAGCAGGGGGAATGTTTCTGTCTCTCTACTCCAGTGAACATGGGCTGTGCTCAGTTGTACTGAGTGGCATCTTGTTGTCAGGAGTGCCCTGGAGCCAGGATAGTGATATTTGCTACAAACTAAGATGCAGTACTTGTATTGTTGGTATAGAAAAATTAAACTAATCACCTTGCACCTTTTTCTGTTAGTTCTCAGAGGTGGTTTTGTATGATTTTAGAAAACTTATGAAATGTTTACAGTTTCTGCGAAGAAGGCTCTGACCTTTACTCTGAGTAAACTCATAGTTGGGTCTCATTTGCTGTGTAGCTCTAACTGAATTTGTTTTTGTAACAGTATTAAAAATGTCACTTGCATCTCTAACCCTCTTTGCAGGCAGTCACAGTGAATTCAGTATTTAAGTGGTGGTTGCTCTGGTCATGGAACAGCCTTAGAACTCTTATTATGATGTAAGAATGCAAGGGGAGGTGCTATATTAGTGAATTCAGAACTGAAATCCTATCCTTAATTTTTCATCTATTCAGGTTTTAACTTCAAAACCACTCTAGTGTACTGTCTAATGCTAAAACGTGTTACTTAACAGAAAAAAAGACAAAATGACCCTGACAGAACATGTAAACCCAAGTAGACTTAAAATGATGAAAAATAGCCTGGAAAACCTCTGTACAGACTTAATTTAATTTTACCTCCTGACGGCTCCAGCACCTGACTTGCAGGAGTGGAGTCTGCCAGAAGCTGCAGGAGGTAATGGGTCTGGGCTCTGAAGATTCAGGCCTCTCAAAGCAATTTCATGCAGGCAGCATAATGTTGCAACAAGGACAGTGTAAAGTCAGGACAAGTTTTTGGAAATCTCAATGCAGGCTACACTGCTTTTGGCAGCTTATAAGCCTCATATTTAGGTTTTTCTTGAATGAAGGGGAAATTTGGTTTAAACAGTAAAATGCATGACTTAACACATTCTTTGCTAAAATTAAAAACCATTCTGGGATCTTTCATATGCCCTTGTAGCTTAAACTCTGAAAAAGATGGGAAGAGCTGTCTTCAGTGCCTCATTTAGAAAAACTTGCTGGCAGCTGTTGTAGATTCACTGGACTTGTGTAGAAATCACCAGAACCAGTGATACATACAGCTTCAAACCACCTCATACAGCAAACACAACATGTGCCTGGACCAAACTGTGTTATGTACATGGTAGTTTCCTTGCTTCAAAGTTGAATCAACCATCACTAGTGGTAGTGGGAAGATTGGGTAATTAAGTGATCACTCAGCTGCTTGCATATTTATCACCTTCCTTGGACATGGGAATTTTGCTGTGGGACAGTCAACTTGTCTGTGAAGGGAAAACAGTTCAGCTAAGATGCTGCTCCCAGAATGCTCTCAAGTAACCAAAATCAAGAGCATGACAATAGCTGGTCTCCTTTGTGATAGGGATTCAAAGCTTTTTTAAGTTTGTCTCCCAGTTGCTGCTGGGGCGTGGACTGGTTGAGATGCACAACAGATAAAGAGATAAGAGCAGCTACGTGCTGTCTGCAGTCAGAACTGCAGGGAATGCTTGAGTGGGCTCAATAACTGTAACCTAAACAGAGCTTAGCTGGTTCCTGTTACACACAGCTGTCACCACCTAAGGGGTTTAGGGAAGGTAAATGAAGTCAGAAGCTTTAATCTTGCGTTGCAGCTGCATGCTGAAACACATACTAATATCTGTTGTCTCTCTTGGGTTTGTTTTTCTCTTTCTCCTTTGGCAGTGGGATTAAGGACCCATTTTGTGTCCTTATTTGCTATCAAGGCCAGCATCAAAACTGCATTTAAAGAATCAGTAATCTTTTGGACTTTGTAGTAGTCATCTTTTTTTAAAAAATTTTTAATGATTTTACTAATCACAGATAGGATAAAGTGCAAAGATACATGATGTTACTTTCCTTCTACCTCCAGATACTGTATGAAACCATTACTATGGAGATGAATAGTACATGTGGCCCAAGACATCCTGAAAGATTCACAAGAACTTTTAGCAGCAGAAGCTGTTGGGTGATAGTTGCCAGTGGAAGTCTGTCTGTCTGGTTCAGTATTTCACAGCTTGAACTAAGGAACCCACTGATGAAGGGAAGTTACTCCTGAATATGCCCAGTCAGTACTCTGCTGCTATGTAAAAAGTCACCTTCCTGGCAAAACAGTGCATACCATCCTCCCACAGTCTCAGAAATGAGTGGAATGGAGCAGGTGTTCTGTGAACATCTGTAAATGCTTGGAAAAGAAAATGCAATGCTTGCTTCCAGTTTTAACTTTTTCATGAAAAGAGGACAAAAAAACAATTCCAGTTTTTAAATAAGCATATTTTTAAAACACTGAAGAGTGCTTACTTTCTTAAAAAGCCTCCCACGAGTTCCTGCCAACTGGAGTAATTGCATGCTTAGAACAAGTGATAACTGCTTGCTTTTATACAGTGCTTTTCATGCCAGAAGACACCAGAGTGTTTTATAGGCCATGGGCTGGAGCAGGCAGGGCACTTTGCCCCACTCTGTGAGAACTCTCTTGTAGTCTCCAGTGGATTGTGCTTCTGCTGTGCTCTAGCACTTTTTTTTTGTCACCTCTGCTCTTGAGGGCCTTCCTATGACGTTGCTTTCCCCAGGGCCAGGAGAGCACTGGGCAGACAAGCTGAAGGGCACTTTCTCAGACTCATGCGCACCTGAAGTTGTGAGGAAGATCCTTTAACAGCCCTCCTTGAGCCAGTATTTCTCCTCATTGCATTCAGCTTTGGTTGTTTCACAGATACTTTAGTGTGAGAACATAAGCTCCTCCACTTATTGCTTGAATGTAAAACATCTCAGAGCATAGCAAAGGAAGAATACCAAATATTGCTTAAGTAGCTGGGGCAGGTCAGAAAAGCTGGGTGAACTCCCCTATCACTAGAGTCCACTTTGAACCATTTGTTGCCAAGGTTAAAACCTGTAGGCTGTAACTGTGTTCTCCCTTTTCCACCAAGAGACTGAATAATGATCTCAGAGATAGAAAGAGAGCCCCAGGAAGTCAGAGTGAAATGTATAGAGCACAAAAGGAGCTACAGTTGCCCATAACACCTCTTGCCAGAAAACCATTTTCACATATTGGGCATCCACAGAGTCATATGGAGAGCTAAAAGGAAACATCTGCTGCTTGCTCACACAGTCTGCTTCCAACCACCAATGGAAAGGACCAGGTTTAATTACACTGCATGCAGAGCTGGACCAAAGACAGACAAGCTTTCTCATTTCTCTGCATCTCTAACATGTTGGTATGTCCAGTGCTTTACAAAGAGAATGAAAACCCACACAGTCGATGATTTTTTAATTTTTTTATTTTTATTTTTGTGAATAAAAAGCACTTGAAAGCTCTATAGGCCAGATAGAAATTGACTAGTTTGACAATACTAACAATTAAAAACATACTAAAATACATTCAGGGAACAACTGGAAAGCATGTACTGTATGTTAGATACTAACATACATGTATGTATGTACTGTATGGGTTAGATAAAACAGTTTTTCTATTGCTTTCCAAGTTAGAATCAAAGCAGAGGAATGGTTAAATGGGGGAAGAAGTAATTTTAAAGGTAATAATTGTCTGTACTAGCTTAGTGCTGGATGATAAGCAGTGCTGCCAGTGCTCACAGTGAGTGACAACAATCCTCCCCTTTTGGGGACCTCTGCTTGGCAAACTGTAAAGACAAGAGTTTTCTGTTGCCCATAGCCCAGGATCAGTGGCACCAGCTGAAGAGGTGTCTGTGTGAGTGTTGTGGTGGTTCAGAGCGTGGGTAGTTGGCTGGAAGGGGCAGGACTGGTACTGCTTTACACTGAAGAGAGTTCCTGGGCGCTCTCTCTGTTTCCAGGCAGTTCTCATTAGCTTTGTGTCTGT